AAAAAAATTGAAACAACACACTGATAGAATACAGCCAATATAGGTGAAAATAATAGTGACTTTAGTACTATAGAGTAATAAAACTTCATAAGGTCTCGTAATGTCAATGTGTTTCGTTATCGTTTCCATAACAATATTTACAATAATTATATAAGACCTACGTTGTTGGTTTCCAGTGCTTTGACATGGCTCCCTTTTCAAACTCTCACAATGTCCCTGGGAGTCGCGAATAACAGTTTGAATATCTCTGAGTTAGAAGCAAAACACATATTTTATAATATACAAGTGAATTTATAAGTTTTACGATTATAAATTATAAATTTAAGAYGGAAGTTAATACAGTTATTTTAAGATTTCATTTTTTTTTTTTAAATAATATTTCCATAATTCATAAACAAAAATATAGTTGCAGTAAAAATGTACTAAATATATTAATGATAAAAATTGCATTAGAAAAACTCCATAAGACAGATTTGCTGTTTACTTACCAGAAAAAAATTTACAAATGATTTAAATTACAAGCTTTAAATTTTGTGTTTGTTGATAACTATAACATATTAATAAATTAAGAATTTAGCAATATATAGAAATGAATAGCCCTTCTATATTTGATTCAAATTTAAAGAGTGCTTTACATTAATTTAAGTTATTACGGTTTTTTATTTTACAATAAGTAAGAAAAGGATCTTTTGTGAACTATAACTATAAGTATTACCTCTTATATTTGTAATAAACATTTTAATCATTATTATTTATTTAATACCTTTCTCCTAAAAAAAAATTAACAATAAATTTCAAAAAATGCAATTTTGGAAAATATCACTTGTTGAACATTGATGTTTCTTGAAAATGCATAGATTGATTATTGTATAGTCCAAAAGATTGGTCTGTAGATACTTGATAAATCAATTTTTTGCAATATGTCTAATTCATAGATTTATACAACACCAAAATAATCTCTTTATTACCTATGTAATAATTCCTGAAGTTAGATTATCTTTGTATGTAAGCATGAGTAAATATTGCCAGCTTGGAAAATGGCAACAGACCTCAATGATAGGAACAAGACACCTATTGAGTTATTTTAAATACATCAAATGTCTAAGTTTTATACTTTTATCCTATTTTTTAAATTTTACAATTCTAATATTATATGCATCTAGTTATTATTAAGTAAGTAAGTAAGTAAGTTAGTAAATACTCAGTACATACCTAATTTATAATACTATATTAGATATATTATTTAAATCACAAGTATTACTAGTTAATTTATAMAAATATAAATAATACATATTTCATAATATTAGTAAAAGTTAAAAGAAAATGGAGACAATTTTTTCCTACCAATATTGATTGGCTAAGACAAACCTCCAATAAAAAATTATTTAACCCTCTAAAAAACTGATCAGATAGACAGCATATAAATATATAACATAAGAAAATATTTCTCGGTTTTCATAAAAACTGCCCAAGTCTACAAAAATGAAGAGCTTATTTCAGCCTATGCCCATACGAGGGTTTAGTAAAGTTACTATTAAAATAAATAAAAATGTTTATGCATATAAGCTAATTGTATAGGGCATAAATGCATATATATTTAAAAGATTTTTTAACATATATATAATAGATGAGTATAATGTCATTATATTCATGGAAAATATATCAAATGTTATATTTAAAAATAGACCATAAATATGTTGTCAGCGAATTTTTAAGTTTGTAAATCCATAGTATTTTTATTAAAATAAAATAGATAAAAACTTATTATTGAATATAATACATAAAGAAATATATAGTATACTGTATAATACTGAGTGCTGTGATGGAACATGAATAATACATGATAAGATTAACTACATAAAGAATAAAAAGTGAAGCTTGGCTGGTTTAAAAAACTCAATATTAGGTGTTAAATAACAGAAAATCTGTGTTTTAGTGAGAGGCTGGTGTTAGAACAATATTTCTACTGACCACCGATGAAATTTTTCTGAAATTTGCAAAGCTGAATCTTTTGTTTGTATTATCAGTAGGCGGTAATGGACTATCATCATATAATGGACCAGTGATAGAAAATGATGGTAAACGATTTGACAACCCAGTAAGGAAGCCTTGACTACGTGATCTTTGAGGCCGTCTCAAATCACTAAACTCATTTGTTGTTGGAAGTTGTAAACGTAAAAATGAGAAACCACGAGTGTAACGAATGTTGACAGGTACACTTTGACGGTCTTCATTGTCTGACATACTTATATAATTTGATCTGTATGAAAATTGTGTTACTTAATGTATAAAAATGATCATGCAAATTCATAACAATATTAAAATAATTACCTGATATAAGATATATGTATCAGATATTTAAATTTTTTTGAAATTTTTTAACGTAATAAAAAATTAAAATGTCTGAGAAGGTTGTAACTCAATACTCATGTATATACGTGTGACTTAATACTAGGAATAAGAAAATTATTCATATATTATGTCACCAATTTCTTTTATCTATATATTAAAATTGATACAAATCATAACTAAAATGGCTCATATACTTTTTTTAGTATTGTATTAAAATACTAAAATACTGATTGTGTTTGAGTAATTCATACATATAAACACATTAAACTTATTTATTTCATATTAAAAAAAATAATACGCTACTTTTAATAAATAAAAATGTTGTTTTAATAGAAAATTACAATTATTTTTTTTCTAGAAAATTGTACTTATGATATGATTTTTAAGCTCATAAAATGTAACATTATAAATATTTTAAAAAGTGAAGTACTTACTAATTTAAAAATATATTAAATTATAAAAAAATTATAATGGTCCATACCTCATCAACAATTATTTTTGTATAAATAGCTTATGAAATAATAAACAATGAACATATTTTCACTTATTACAGCAATAATGAAAGGAAAGTCAATTATTTATGTTTAGTTAAGTTTTAAAAATGTTTGAGATTATTATATATATAGCGTATATATGTATATATATATTTACTAAATTACATCCAAGTACTTATTGTTTAAATAGCAAAATTACATAATCTCAAAACCAATTTACATTATTTATCAAATTAATGTATTTTATCAGTTTATCCACTTAACTATTTTATTTGCAATAAAATAATCAACAAAACCTAGTTTAAATTATACACATATATAAGTATATAGACATATAGTATTTTATACATATTTTCACTCGTTCAATTATATTTTACTCAAATAATTTTTTTTCTCTATTCTGTTAATAAGATTGGTTTTTAATATCATAATTATATTTAACGCTATGTTACCTGGGTATCGCCATTGATTCTTTTCAAAAAATGAAAATAACTTAAAATACTTCCATAACTTCTGCTCACATTATAGCTCAGTGACAATGGTAATAATTCTACAGAACTATGATTTGATTTAAATGTCCACTGAAGCCTAGGCATAATTAGCTCAAAAACATGACAAAAATACTTTTAGATGTTGAAATATGAAGAAAATATTTTTTTGTTCTTAATATAATTATAGGATTAAAAATATTTTCATACGATTAGATAATCAAATAATTAGGAACTTTTCACAAGAAAATAATATTATGAAATTGTATTATATGTTTATTATTACAGGTGTATGAAACACTTATTGGCTGAAAACTAATCGATTGATCATTGGAATGCCCCCACTGAATGACGTTTTACAATATATTTCAATCAAAATTTCTTTATCAATATCCCTGAAGAGGTGTGCCTATCAAACTATACACATATTCAACATATTTGACTATTTAATCTAGGTATTATTATTAWATAAGTAAATACAATATGACRACATCATGAAAAAGATATAGGCTATTGTAAAATCTATTAACCAAACAAAATGTACTTAACACTTCTAATCTAACTATAAGTGAAGTTTGTAATCCATTAAAATTAACATTTAACTATCAAAACTTTACTTTATAAAATACACACTTCATAATTTATAAATGAATAATCTGCATATGCTTTAAAGAGATAAATATGGCGAATTTCGTATCATTTAACATGTGCACATAACATTTTTAAATTATTGTTTATAATAAACTGATAAATTCTACAAAACACATTAATGATTATTATGAATAGCGGGAAAGTAGGTTTATGTTTATTTACGATTTAATACCTACTCTATCTTATTTTATTGATACTACCTATTGTAGCTAATAATATGCCTATGGTAATTAAGGATATCTCTTTCTATGTATAAGCATAGAACCTATACAAATTAATCATTTGAATTTGTATTTATTTAATTTTTCTAGAAATCATCTTTTGAAATTATTATCAAGTTCTTATTTTTACTCATATCATATTTACATATTCATATGCAAACATTTAGTGTGACAAATCATTATGAAATGCAGCTATAATATTTGAATGATAAAATTAATTAAATACTTTAAATACATAAAAATTATTAAATAAAAATATGCATAACATTGTTTCCAGGTTTCTTTTAATATAAAATATAGGTTAAGTGSAAATGGCATTTCAATGTATGTATAAATAATTAAGGATGAATAACTGAATAAGTAAATATTATAAATACCAAACAAATCAAATTGTATAACAAACATCATCAATAATTAATTTTAAACCACAATTATTTAATTAGAATTGACTCAAAATGCTATATTTATATATATATATATATATATATTACAAATAAGAAATAATTACAATAATTAAGCTAAAAATTAAAATCTCCTTTATATAGTTTTGTTTTTTATTCATATATTGATTTACTAACCGTGCACCTAATACAATTTAAATTTTAAAATTAATTAATTTTAAAACTAATATGAGTGTTATTAGATGTTAGAATTTTAACAGAGCATAGAAACTTTAGGGTTTGTAATGTATTGTTTTGTAATTTGAGCAATTAATCAATTTTTGAATTCAATAATATTCAAGAATGAAACATTCAGTAAAATGTTAAACACATAATGATCAAATTTTTCAAACTTATTTTAGTTTGTGTCCATAAGCAAAATTTGATGTACAATAGAACCTCATTAATCCAGACAGTTATGTAATATTACGAAAAATACACAGTATATTATTCCGTAGACTAAAATAAACATAATAGCTATCACATTTTAACAGAAGAAGAGATTTTTGAAAGCCTCATCGCTGCAGAAAACTCTGAAACGGATGAATATACGTACAAGATGAAGTAGACGATAGTATCAAATCTAAGTTAAAACTTAGTGAAATTAAAGACCATTTGAATATTGTCCTTAAATATGTTGAAGATAACGACGATGAAAATATATCTGCATATTACGAATATTTAAGGCATCAACGTGAATTATTAATACGAGAAATAAATGCTAAAGGATCACAACAAAAGACTARCAGTTTTTTTCAAACCAGTTAATGAAAGTGTGCCTAAATATATAATAATTATGACTATATGCATTATGTTAATATGTAATGTTTTTGCTGGATCTAATATTATGTTGCAATATATCATATTATATAGTAATTACTAATTATTTAATATAATATTCATAAATCTATAATAGGGATATGTTTTTTGTCCCTAACCGGACTTTCATTAAATCGGACAACCTAGAGCCCCTATTAGTCAGGTTTAATAAGGTTCTACATTAGAGTATTTGTGTATGTTGGGGATAGCTGATTATTTTCATTACACATATAAGTACCAGATCTGCTCACRCAATTATTAGCTCCAACAAGACAACTTATAAACTATTAAAAACTAAACAATTTAACCGAAGTACAAAAACAATTAGGTGCCTACTCTTCAATATTTTAAAGTATTCTAAAAATGAACTGTTAAGTTGTTAAATTAATTGAATTAGAAATAGTTTGATACCTGTTCAATTATTGGTAACAATAAGAGTTTGTTAAAAATATTAATCATTAGGTATGTATTTCAATTAAAACTGGGACAACGCAACACAGATGACAGATGAGTGATAAACAACCGCTGATGGTTATAGCTAAATTTATAATCGTTATGAGCAATTGAAAATAAATTTTACAATTATGACAATTATTAACCCGATTATTAATTAAAACTTAGGGAGCTTAGTYTTCTGAAACCCCTTTCCTAAATTGCCACCTTTGTTTGTATTTTTAAAAAATCTTCTGATATCATACTACAAACTATGCAACTACTAATAAAAGTAACTTAGTTAGAAACTACATTTGATATTAGTGACTTAGAACCCAAATAATCTTAAAATTCAGTTTCCTAAATGTAGCTTTAATTGTTTTTTCATATAGTTAAAATATGCATAAATTATTCATTAAAGTTTTGTAAGAAATGTATAAGTGAAATACATGAAATTAAAACAGATTTAGTATTTTACACAATGTAGATAAGTTTTGTAATTTAAAAATGGTTATTAATTCTTAAAGTAAAAATAATAAGAAATGTAATCTTGATACCTCATTAGTATAATCACCTAGGTACCTCTTTATCTTTATGATGTAAATTTCAGACAATCAATTATAATTTTAATGAACCTTAAATGGAAAATAATTAATGACTAAATATATAATACTGAAAAAAATGTACCTATCAATATATTTTTTTCAGATAAACTGATAATATTTTTAAGAATACTGAATTGATTTTAGTTGTTTACATACTAAGAGCTTGGATCACATATTTACATGTTTGTATAGATAATACCCTAGAGTACCTTATTCTGAATACAAATTTGTAAAATTATTAATTAAAATACACAAATATCATACATCAATTAGGTAATTGTTCATTTAATATAATAAATAACAAATCATTTTCCACAATCTATTTTAAGATATTCATAAAAATAATATTTAACATAGAAATATATACCCAATAAGGTTTGTTTAAATCATTAGGTACTTACTTTATTTGTTTAATTCAAGAAACATGATCCCCTAAAAAGTGTTTTGTAATGAATAATATCCTAAATATGTGAAACTTTCGATTAAAAATAGTGCATCTTACTTAGTACATTAATTACATTGAGAACTTTATTTTATTATAATTGGTGACAGTCAAAAATGTATAATGAATAGTGTAATATATCACATAATAATTAATAAATAGTATTATGGTAATATAAAAAAATAATGATAATTCTGTCAAGTATTTTCCTGGAAACAGTTGTGAGATACGTCAAGAAGTAATTAGTATTATAAAACAGCTGTTCAGTTATCATCCAATTGCAATTCAGATACGAGATAAAAAAATTGAACATTATTTTTTTTCAAACTTAAGGAATACCAACAAACACAAACATTAATATTTAATTTGCACTTAGTTTTAATAATAGTAAATAAATTTGTCAATTGTAATTCGTACACACTACACGGTATCTAGGAACTAGGTACATATTTTTAATATACTCGATTATATTTGGTATTGTATTATAGGCTTAATAATAAGATAATGGATCATTGCCAGATTGATGGTATTGAGGAACTTAAGATTTCTAATGATGTTCATCTTGAGACTACTAATAATAATATGAAGTAAGTAGTAAAGTAAAATTTTAGTATCTCTCTATCTGTTTACTTACACTAGGTACTACTTGGTTTGTTTTTCAGATCAATCAAACACATTACTATCAAAAAGGTATATTGAAAATAATTTAAATTGTTTTTAATAACAATTAAATAATAAATAGCCTACTATTACGGTATTTATAAATTGTATACACTTTATAGAACACTTCAGAATCAGATCATCGTACTCCTAAACGTAAAAGTGATATTTCTAACTCAAATATTTTGAAAAAAAAAAAAAAATATGAGACCGCTTTGGCTGCAATTTTTCCAGAAAATGACCAATCATACTCACAATATGCTCAAGGTACTATTAATTTTTATGTTATAAAATAACTATGTTACATTTCATAAATTGTATTTAATAATATTCAAGACAAATTACCTACTAACTAAATCTTTTTTTTATTTTTTAAACAATTTGTTTTATAGTAGGTATGCATTTTGTCTTTGTGATAATCAAAAATTTTTCTCTTTASACAATTTCTGATTATAATACTAAATTATATTAATGTGTTTTTTATAGATTATGCTGAGGGATATATGAAAAAGATGCGAGAAAGATTAGATGTTGATTCATTTGATCTAGCCATAAAACTCTTAGCATCTTTTGGGGACGCTGATGATACCAATATTAATCTTTTATATGAACAAATAACTGAAGTATTGACTGATAAAAATGATGATTTAATCTATGAATTTTTGGGATTTTTACTTCCAGGACAAGCTTTATCAATTGGAAAATTCACAGATTATTTAGAATTAACTAGAATAAAAGAATTTATTAGAAAATTACAAGTATGAGACTTATCTATTTTGAATAATCCTTTTATTCATTTTYGTTTTTTATTAGGTTTGCATGAAAAAACAACCAACTCAGGTCCGTAAAATATTAAACAATTTGTTTCATTTATCAAAAAGTGAAAATATTACTCCATTAGAAGTACATACAGCTATGCTCCCTTTATTAAAAAGTAATCCAATTTTAGTTGATTGTTTTTTTCAATTAATCCCAACAGAACATCCTCCTGAAAGGTATGTGATATCAACAATGCGTTATTATTTCTTAACATTGCTAATTGGTTGAATACTATTTTAGCTTTTTCTCTGATGATAATTGGGAAGACTTAGATATTGATCAATGTATTAACTATGGAATAGATTATGAAGAAATAATTCCATCCGATTCAGAAGATCATACACAATTAAATRTATGCCATTGTGTGTGTCATAAATCTGGAAATAGTACACATTGTAGATCATGTGGTCTAAAGGTATCAATACATTTTAAAATTTAACTTAAATCATTGGTTACCATGGCTTCCAGGCTTCCAGTACCATTGATGGTTTTATAAAAATATTTTTAAGTACAATCTTATGTATCTAACATACTTCAAGAGACATTGTATTTAATATTATAATTGACTATAAACACTATTAGTACTTATCCCTATTGGCTATAATRCTATAAGTATTATATTCAATGATATAACACAGAAGTAAAATAGTATTATTAATTTTTTTCATACTTTTTAATATATATTATTTCCACCATTAAAACCAAAAATTMTTTTATCATGAACCACTCACTACTTCAAAAAGTATTAATGTTTTTGAAAAAAGATATTCTAGGTTTCAAATTCTAACAAAATAACATTTTTTTCTTGGTTTTTATTTTTTTGAATAGAAACATACAGTTTTTTTTTTTAATCTTCAAAAATGAAATATTTATCCGAGGATATTAATACATAAAAATAAAATTACCTGTAACTCATAAACTACTATTCATACATTTTAGTTAGATATAACTTTAAACCATGTAAAAAACATATTTTTAAAAACATTAATGCTTTTTAAAATAATAGAGGTACCTGATAAAACAATAATTACTATATGCAAAAACAAGTTTAAATGTGAATCCCATAAATTTTTGTATTAATAATTTTAAAACCTATAATATGTAGGATAACATTTTTAACTGCTTTTTTAAGGATGGTATTATTAGAGAAATGATTACCAAAATATGACAAGTTAGAACTGAAATAGGATATACAATTTTATATTACTGACATTAAATTAATTCATTTTCTTCTATTATTTCAAAATTCTGTTGAGGATCTGATGTTTTATTAAGTCTTATTTGACATATTTTCTTTTTTATGTGTTCACTACCTTAGTATGTAAATTTTAATGCATTGAATTTCATTTGGCAATCTTACAATAATTATTAGTTGTGTTTAAACTCATTGTTTATAATAATGTGCATTTCCTTGAAATATTATGCTTGTTAATAAAATATTAAGTCATTATTATATTTTGTTARACTAATAAAGTAAAACTAATAGCCCTTTCATTGCTCTGGCTTTAATATTACACCCAAAACATTTACATCATTCACCATTCTAGACAAAATATTCATTCCCGTATTGTATAGTATWGTTATTTACTGGAAACCATACAATTTGAAAAAATCCTGGCTCACASTATTTTGAACTTAAATAATAATACCATATAGATCCAACATTTTTATTTAAAAGAAAATAAATAATATTTATTTTATGTAACATACAYGAAACAGTATAGAATATAGAGTTGAAGAGCATAAATATTGTAGCAGTGAAAAGTTTAAAATAGTATAAATATTAACTATAAGTTCATTAAGTTTTAATAATTCATCATTACATAAATCTAATGCTTTTATTGGTATMCAGTTAATTTTATTTATATTGCATTAGTTAAGTAATAAGTAACTAATTTTAATATAATCAATACATTTATTTATTAAAATGYATAATRTAATATAAATCTAATTGTTTTATTTTTATCAAAAAGTTTTTTAAAGGTCGTATCTACTTTGATACYGTAGAAGGATTGAAACTAGCAAAAATAAATTTTGAAGGAGCTGACTCATCTATTGTACAGTCTAAAATTGATAAAACAAAAGAAAATACTACAGTAAAGCAAAAAAATAGAAAGAGTTTGATTAAAAATAGTTCTCCTGGCTCAGCAGAAGATATTAAATGCAGCACAGGGACAGGTTAGTTGTGATATATTTTTTTACTTGTGATTATATTTTTAAAACTTATATAGTTATATTTATTACACTCATAGAATCTGAAGAAGATCTGATTGATGTGAAACCAAAAAAACGACAAAAATCTAAAGTAGTACAATCTTTAAAGCTAAAGTATAAAAAAGAAGAAAATCCTAAATGTTGTAAAGATGAACAAGATTCATGTGTTGAAACAGGAAAATCTATTGTTCATGTTACTAATGAAGAACTAAAAAGTAGTGAAATGGTGTTTTTTTGTATTCCTAAAGCAGAAGCTAGTGTGAAAATAATGCCCAAAAAGAAATTAAAYGTTGACATGAAAGAAGTTACAATACTTAAGGATTGTGAAAATATAAATCAAATCAAACCTGAAAGTTTAGATAATATAAATTCAGATTTATTTGAAAAAAGTATAGAAATTAAAACTGAAGTGTTTTCAGATAAAAATGTTATTGATGTATCGAAAGAAATAAAARAAGAATTAAATTTTTTACCTTCACCTGTTACAATTGATTATGTACCAGAAGTAGACATTAAATTTGAGCAATATCAAATATCAAACCAAACTAAAATAGAATTTACTAACAATATTACTAATAGTGATATTCCTGAAGCTTGTAACCAATTAGATAACATGCACAATAAGAGTTTAGAAGAATCAAATAAAGTTAAAATTAAAAAAGAGTTGGATGAAGACTTGGACATCAGTAGTCTTAACAAGATACAATGTGACCAAAATACTTCAACTAAATTAACAGACAGTAATTTGTTCGCTTCTACATCTGATATTAATAAAACATTACTACATGAAAATGTTACAATAAAAAATGAAGCTATTGATAATTTATCTGAATGTTATATAAATTCAAGAGACAAACAGGATGATAATGAAACTGAAAAACAATTGATAAATAAATGGACAATAGATGAAGATAAAATTATACTTCAAACTTGTAAGAGAGTTGAAGATATTGAAATTTTATTAGAGACAATTAATAGGCGAATACCACAGAGATCAGTATCTGAAGTATGTTTGTTTTTATGCACACTAATCATAATTTATTAATAATGTATCTTTTAATTTACAGATACAAGAAAGGTTTACGACCTTGATGACTTTACTTGAACAGATGATAGAAGTAAAACAAAATTAGCATAGCTGATATATATTATAACATATTTCTTTATTATTTGTTAAAATAAAAACATACTAAAATATTTCTTTAAAATAGATTTATTTCAGTCTTCATATCCAGGCGGCCTTGGTATTCTTTTATTCTCATAATCTTCAAGATTAACTTGTTCCATAAGCTTTTTATACTCAGTTTCTATTGTAACACTGCCTCGAGGTTTCATTTCAATGCCTTGTTTCCTAAGTTCTTCTGGACTGATGAACTTAACCTTTCGATGATCATATCTAATCTGTGAAAATTCTCTTAAACCAAATGAACCTCCAACAACCAACAACATAAATGGCAATCCAAATCGAAAAAATTTGTTTTTTAAAAAATGATCCAACGATTTTGATAAATTGTCCATTGTTACAAGTTTATTGAACACATGTTTATTAGGATTTTCTTAAAATAATAAAATAATATTTTAATGTAAAGTATAGGTTATTATCTAGTAAAAAATTTCAAGAACGCAGTTATGTTAAAGAATGTAGTGTGTAGACTCAAAGACGAAATTATGCGACTTATGTCAATATTACCTATATTACCATATAATTGTTAATGTCTTAATGATAAATTTAAATCAGTAAAATATTGTTATCTAAAATTTATGATCCATTCGTTCAATGATAAAGAGTTCAAAACTAAACAGCTGCTGTAAAAAATATTGTTGATAACATAAACAAGATAATAAGCACAGAACAATAAGGTAATAAGGTTAATTAATAAGATTGTTTTTTTTTTTTTTTTAATAAGATTGTTCTGTGCTTGAATTCACCTTGACATAGACCTTATAATAATAATTAATATTATTAATAATTTTTATAATCTGTGCTTATAACTTATAAGGTCTATGAAGATACCTATTGGCTATTACCTTAGTCCATGGCAGCTGGCTCATGATAATAACGTTCTCAATTATCACAAAATTTGTATACGAGAATTGTAATAATTGATAATATGGTCTATGATACTATTTAATCTATTCTATGCTATGGTATGAAATTATGAATGAATTATCATAATTTTTAATATAATGACATCATGCATTGTAATTTGTAATAAATAGTATTAACCATAAAGTGCTATTTAATAACAGACATTTAATATCGACGTKTTAGTGTGTTGATTTTWATTAAATTTTTAATTAATATGAATTAAACCAAATTATTACCTATTACTATTAAGAATAGTAAGTTTCTTTGTTTTTAATTTTTTTATTTATYTGTATCAAAATATTTTCAAAAATCAAAACCAAATATTACAACTTTCCGTAAGTATTCAATTCTTTTTAACTTAATTTATTTAATTGTGACATTGTGACATTAATTTATAATTTTATTTTAGAAAAAAATGGGAGAACTTCCTGGAGAGTTTTCAAAATCATTCAGAACACAATATATTCATCCAACTATAAATGATATTGACTATGTAAAACATTTACCGTTCAACCTTGATAAAGGACCGTATAAGTCTGAAGACCATTATTTAGACACACAATTTCATCTCTTACGTGAAGATTTTATTTATCCATTAAGAAAAGCTATACAGTTTTATCGTAAAAATAAAACTACAACTGGCACTAATCTGATATGCAGTAATGTATTGTTTGATGGTTCTAGAGAGTTTTTTGCAAATAAATTAGGTTTTGTATTTAAATTTGATCCCGTTGCCTACAACATCAATATGTTTATAAATGGTTACTTATTGCTGTTTTCTAAAGACAATTTCAACACTTTCTTTGCTGGACTCGTGCTGAAAGATGACACWGAATACTTAAAAAAAGGGATAATTTTAATAGAAATGCTTGATAATATTGACATAAGACCAAAAACAATTTTATCAATGGCACAGTTTGAACAATTTTATGTACCTTACAATTGGACACTTAAAGCTCTTCAACAGATGAACTCACTTCCATTGAAAGAGTATATAGTTTTTGCCACAAACAAACACTGTKCACCTGAATACCTCAATGACATTAATTACCAAAAGTATGATATTGATGATTACAAATTTAATATTTTGAACAATGAAGAATGGCCTACAGAAACTTATCTGCAACAAGAGAGCAGTCAGTATGAAGCATTTAAAGCAGCCTTGACCCATAAATATGTTTTAATTCAAGGTGTTCCAGGTTCAGGAAAAACATTTATTGGTCAACGAGTTGTAAAAGCAATGATTGAAAATTTATATTTGACAGGGCGACTAAATAAACCTATTGCTGTGATTTGTAATAATAATCTCACATTAGATCATTTTTTAGAAGGTATCTTAAAAATAACTGACAAGTTAGTCAGAATTGGCAGTCAATCAAAATGTGAAGCTTTAAAGAAATATAGTTTAAAGAAGATAGTAAAGCTTAACAAATTAAAAATAAATAATATTTTAGAAAAAAATTTAAAAGTTAAAGAGCAAGCYATTTTAGAGTGCTGTGAGAAATGTGACAAATTATATTCAGGTATTCTAGATTGGAGTATTTTGAAGACTGTGGTGCCAAAATTAGCATTCAACACTTTTATAGATTCTTGGGATTTYCTCAACTGGTTATTTCATCCATATCCTGTGGAAAAGATGTTTAAAAAATATAAAATAGATCACGTACAATACCCTCAACATTGTCTTATTTTAGATGATGTAAAACAACGTTTGTCAGAATTGACAGAACAAGTTACTGAAGGCAGTGAATATCACTCATTAAAAATCAAACAACAGTTGACCATGCTGAAGAAATTTTATGAATACTTTGAGTACATGYTATCTTTTGATAACTCGGAAGAAACACCAATTGTGGTTGATGATATTCATTTAATTCCAGCTGATCAAAGATGGGTGTTATACTATAAATGGGTCCATATAATTGTTAATGAATATAAGAATATTTTAATTCCAACATGGTATGAATATAATGACTTATGTAAAAAACTCGATGAGGATAGATTGGCACAAACTATGAATTTACTAGATGATATTTATGTAATTGGACTTACTACTACTGGAGCAGTAAAAAACAAAGATTTATTAGAACGTTTAAAACCTCCAATTGGTAAGTGCTTTTCTAAGAATTTCTAATTTATATTCAATTTAATAAAAAATAATTRTAACCATAATTTAATATAAATTGATATAGCATCAAATATTTTATTAATATAGTTTAAAACACAGTATAATTAATTAAACTAAATTTTTGATGTTTATTGTTATTTATACTGTTTATTACCTATAATATTTTGTAAGTTACTACTATTTTCCAATTAAAACACGAAGAGCTGTTTTGATATCAATTAGATTGTCATAAATGTGTTAATTTAAAAAAAAATTGATATATTACATTGAATTCAGTAGCATMGTTTTTATTTTCATAATCTAAATTTAAAATGTGTAGATAATTAAATTTTAATGAGGTTATGTTTAATTATTTTTTTTAGTTATTGTGGAAGATGCAACAGAAACATTAGAACCATTCATTGTTGCATCATTGACTGAGCATTGTCAACATTTGATTCTAATTGGTAAGTTTTTATAAAAATTTTTTTTCTTTTTTTAGTTGCTAACCAAGTTTAATTTTATTTATTCATAAATGTTGAATTTATGTTGAATACTGTAATTGATTTTAAATTTKAATACTATAGTTTTTATAATTAATATAATATGGAATAAATCTAGAAATTTGGGAAAAATATTTTCTTTTACATTTAATACTCAAATTAGGATTATACTTATTAGTTCATTGACTCTGGGACAGGGAGTAATTTAAATATTTACAAAGAAGATAATATAGAAATATAAATACAGTTAATTATAACTTCTACTCTTCAAACATTTTTTGAGATAAAAATAACTATTTTCAATCGTGCGACTTTACTAGAGTACCCTTTTATATATTCAATAATGTGAAGCTATGCAACGGCAGTAACATGTTATTTTTATTACCTTAACTGAAAGTAGAAAAATTAATATTTATTAGGAAAGTAATGTATTCTACGTAAAGAATACTTTAACTGTATTATAATTACTTGAAGTTACTGGGGTAATGTGTTAGTAAATAAAAAATAACAATATTTTAATATCAAGAGACACTACATATTCATTTATAGTTCTGTCTAACTCAAAAACGATTTCAAATTTTTGTTAATCAGGTTTCAATAATGTGCTGTTGGTTTTAATATGAGAGTGAATTTACCTATTATCAAACTTAAATACATTATTTATTTATTCTGTATAGTGTATATCATAGGCATATTCAATATTTCAATATATTAATTTTTGTGTGAGATATGAAC